ACAGATAGCCCTTTTCAGCAGTCTAAATTCAAATAATTGTGTTTTATTACATTTACATGTTTTACAAACAGGCGGGTTTCCTTACTGTGGTTACTATGGCAATGCAGAGCAAAACCCCTTTATAGATTTTGTTTTAAAATCCTTCCTAAGCCTACAATTAGCTTTTTCAAGTTTTTAAACAGATAACAACTGTTCTATTATGTTGCATGGGAGGTGGCAAGCCTTCATTACAGCATTATTGCAAAATATTTGCAGCTTGCAAGCACTTTGCATTCTGAGAGCTGACTTTTTATTAATTATATTGGTAGATACAATTATACATGGTTCTTTCCCTCACTCTATTGCTGTCAGGAAAAAAAAGGATATTTGACAGGAAGCATATTATTCATGGAGCCTCCGGTGGCACAGTGGATTAAACCACTGAGCTGCTAAACTTGTTGACCGAATGGTCGCAGGTTAGAATCCGGAGAGCAGGGTGAGCTTCCTTTGTTAGCCCCAGCTTCTGCCAACCTAGCAGTTCAAAAACATGCAAATGTGAGTAGATCAATAGGTACCGCTTCGGTAGGAAGTTAATGGAGCTCCATGCAGTCATGCCTGCCACATGACGTTGGAGGTGTCAACGGACAACGCCGGCTCTTCAGCTTAGAAATGGAGATGAGCACCAATCTCCAGAGTCAAACACACCTGGACTTAATGTCAGGGGAAACCTTTATATTATTCATATATTGCTGTTATTTAATCATGATAGTAACATTTGAGCATAATAGTAACATCTCTTCCCATACTCTATACCGCCGCCAAGATTTATTTATTTATTTATTTCGCATATTTGTATCCCGTCCTTCTGACCCCCTGTGGCTCTCAATGAGACATGCTGCATTATCACAGGGTGTTTCAGCCCTACACCACTGGAGAATTACACTGTTTAGCCAGTATTGCACCACCTGGCATCCGCCGGGGAGTAGCAACCAATAGTGAAAGGACCAAGGCATTGATATCTCTGGCCCACCCCGTTTGGATATCAGCCAGCATACCAACACCTTAAATCACGAAACAGCTCCACACTCCGGATGCATGACTGCAAAGACATTGTTCTTTGTCCATTTTGACTGAAGAGTTGTACTCCAAAATATCCAAACTGGGATCCAGGTTGGCTCTCTAAACCAATATTCTGTTCACAATAGAGGACAGTCAGCTATGCCCTCCTCTTTTCGTGGTTCCTCACAAATAGTATCCTCTGGACATGGAGGTTACATTCAGATATTCTGACCAATAGTCATCATTCCTCCTTATAGTTAGCCATTCCAGATAGCGGCCTGTATCACATGTTGTAGCAAACAAATCTGCAGCTTACCTCAAGACAACTCTATTAAAAATTAACTTTGAAGATGTTCTCCTATGTTAAGGAGTTTTTAAATCTCAGATTCTGTTCTAGATACTGAGAGTATTCAGGCAAGTTCCAAACCATTTCCTAACTTGATTGGCTGAAAAGGGAGCTATTGTGYTACAGGAATAACAATTAAAGCAGAAMRTCAATTTAAACCAAGCTCAATCAAGAAAGAAAGGCCCATATATTCATTTGGGGAAGGAGAGAGTTGATATGTCAGGMGCCTTTCRCTGCATTCCTCTGAGAAATGCTTTTCTTGCAATAACACTATCCAACAACATYCACAGCTTTGATGAATACTGGAAAGAAGAATTTATTTTAATTACTCTAGTATCTAGCAGCACTTTCTCCATGAACWCATAACTAGTTTAAAAGACARGAAAAGCTGATCCTGATTCTGAAGCCAATTGTTCGGAAACCACATCATATTCTTCTAAAGAATGAGAACTCAACTATTTAGGCTCTTTTGCAACTACCTGCCCCAGCAAATGAGACCCAGCAGGGATACCACCACAGGAACAGTATATAGCAGGCACTAAATGCAATATGGCAACAAATATAACTCTATTTTGCCATTAAATAGATGCTCTCRTGGCAGTGGGGTAAAAGTCATACTTGCTTTTGATATATTGGGAATCTTATGGGATGCAGAATCTTTGTGTCAATTACTGCATCCTCCATTTACCGATCTTAAAATTTGGAGACCCAAAAAGAAGTCTAGACCAAAAGTCAAACTCACTTCTCCATCAACCATATGAATAAATAAATACACGATCTTGACTCTATCCTGACAACTTAAACCCCGTAAGCTAAGCACAAAGTAGCTGTGGATGTATCTACAATGTAGAATTATTGTAGTTTGACATGTGTTTAACTGCCATGGGAGTTAAACACATGTCAGCGAAGATTAAAGATCCTGTAAAACTGCAACTCCCATATTTACAAGAGCATCGAGCCATGGCAGTTAAAGTAGGGTCAAACTGCATTAATTCTACAGTGTAGATGCACCCCATGTGTATGCAAGAATGATAAAAATACAAGTGGATCCATACTCTGGGAGTGAAATTTTCTAAGAAATCCAGCTTTCAATTGATTTCAAAGGTTTCCGGAGGGGGGGGAGGGGGTTGCCAAGCACATGCATTCACACAACTCAATATTCAAAACAAACAGGCAGTAGGCTTAAGCAAACAAACTTACCTTGAGATATGTAGCACATCTCACGTACTATTGAGTTCAAGGGTTTGGTGAATGAACAATTGTCTTCGAGGTAATAAAGCTTAAATGTCAAACAGACAAAAGAATTGGACTGTTCACCTAATAAAGCGGTATGTTTTCAGCCCTAATGCAATCCTCTGACCTATGTACAAAGGACTGGAATCAGAATTAATTTAGAAGTCATAAGATGAACTAAGCATCTGTGCCGTTTGAGAAGATGAATCTAATCTAAAGACGAAAACTGTTTTCTCCCATTCAGCAAAAACTGCTTTCATTGAGACCTATATGCCTTTTCAGCCTTTTTACATATATTTGCAAACATCTCTGGCCAAGTGTTATAAAGACAAAATTATGTTGTACAACACAGCCCCCGTTTTTTCAATAGTGTTGTTTATTTGTTCAGTCACTTCCGACTCTTCATGACCTCATGGACCAGCCCACGCCAGAGCTCCCTGTCGGTCATCACCACACATCTCACCATGCTAAAACAGTGGATGTGGCTCTTAATGAGACATGCCGCATTATCACGGGGTGTCTGTGCCCTACACCACTGGAGAAATTACACTGTCTAGCCGGTATTGCACCACCTGACATCCGCCAGGAAGTAGCAGCCAATAGTGAAAGACCAAGGCAGTGACATCTCCAGCCCATCCCTTGTTTGGGTATCAGCCAGCACGTCAATGACTTAAATCAAGAAATAGTTTTCTAAGATCTACAGAGACACTCGCTGGAACACCCCAGCAAGCGAGAGTCCAAAAGTGGCAGGCTAAAACTTGGAACCTCAATCAGTGGCTGATACCAAATGAGAGACTCCCTCCCGGGAGACTCCCTCCCGGGCGACAGAAAATTGGGCGACTTGGAACGCACTGAATAGACTGCAATCTGGCACCAAGAGTTGCAGAGCCAACCTTAAGAAATGGGGCTACAAAGTGGAATCCACAACATGTGAGTGCGGAGAAGAGCAAACCACAGACTACCTATTAAAATGCAGCCTGAGCCCTGCCACATGCACAATGGAGGGCCTTCTTGTAGCAACACCAGAGGCACTCCAAGTGGCCAGCTACTGGTCAAAGGACATTTAGTATAATGCCACGTTTTTAACTTTGTTTGTTGATGCCCAGCTCTTTCATCAAAATCATCTGGCCGTTCCCTGGGCAACGTCCTTGCAGACGGCCAATTCTCTCACAACAGGACACTCCTGACACAACACAAACAAACAAACAAACAAAACCCCTTTGTTTGTGTTTCTCAAGTCTCTCCTGACACACAAACAAACCCCGATTACAATGCCACCTGCACAATGGAGGACCTTCTTATAGCAACACCAGAGGCACTCCAAGTGGCCAGATAGTGGTCAAAAAACATTTAGTATAGTGCCAAGTTTTATTTACTTTTTTTTGTTTTAATACATTTCAACTCACCCTTGACTCACTCCTGATACGATAAATAAAAGCCCCGAAAACTCACAACGACCCAAATAAATCATTTTATTGTATCATTGTAGTTTCCCTATTCTGGACATATTCCAGATGTTGACAAGCTGGAATGTGTCCAGAGGAGGGCGACTAAAATGATCAAGGGTCTGAAGAACAAGCCCTATGAGGAGCAGCTTAAAGAGCTGGGCATGTTTAGAATGAAGAAGAGACGGCTGAGAGGAGATATGATAGCCATGTATAAGTATGTGAGAGGAAGTCATAGGGAGGAGGGAGCAAGCTTGTTTTCTGCTGCCTTGGAGATGAGGACGCTGGAGAAAGGAGATTCCAAGAAAGGAGACTAGGACGTGGTGCAATGGCTTCAAACTACAAGAAAGGAGATTCCATCTGAACATTAGGAAGAACTTCCTGACTGTGAGAGCTGTTCATCAGTGGAACTCTCTGCCCCTGAGTGTGGTGGAGGCTCCTTTTTTGGAAGCTTTTAAGCAGAAGCTGGATGGCCATCTGTCGGGGGTGCTTTGAATGCGATTTTCCTGCTTCTTGGCAGGGGGTTGGACTGGATGGCCCATGAGGTCTCTTCTAACTCTATGATTCTAAACAAATCCATGTCCTAACGAGGATGTATTGTTTTCCCTTGTCACTCTCTAAAAGGTATCCCATGAAAACCGACCATTATGAAGCCACTCCAATGGCGAGAGTTTGTTGAGAGTCTCAAACTATCTGGGCAGCCTCAGCTTTGCGGCAAATGGATATGTAAACCGTATGATGCTTAAAAGAGGCGCAGCGGGCTGCCCAGAGCCATTGCCGCGCCGCTGCTTCTGCGCGCCCTTCCGGGCAAGTGTGGTCCTTCTTGGAGCATCCTTGACAGCGGCGGAGGGGTGAGGAAGACTACATCTCCCAGCGTGCCTCGCGGCCGGCTTCCAACACCGCGCCGCGCGATTGGGCGCTTCCTCCGCGGCGACCAATCGGGGTAGGCTTTGTAGGCCAGTCGAGAAGAGCGTGGTGTCTTTGAGTTTGTGTGGAAGGACTGGGCTTTTCTCCTCTTCTGCCTCTGCGGTGCCGGCGTGATGGGCGGCAGCGGGAGCAGCCAAGGCAGGAGGAAGGTCTCCTTCGAGCTGGACGAGGAGGACCGCGTGCGGGTCTTGCAGGGCATCCGGGTGAGTGAGGGAGGGAGAGGGCTTCCTTGCCTGCCTGCCTGCTGACCTGACGCCTTACCTGGGCCAACTTGGGCCCTCCAGGTGTTTTGGACTTCAACTCCCACCATTCCTCACAGCCTCAGGCCCTTTCCTTTCCCCCCCTCAGCCGCTTAAGCGGCTGAGGGGGAAAGGAAGGGGCCTGAGGCGGTGAGGAATGGTGGGAGTTGAAGTCCCAAACACTTGGAGGGCCCAAGTTGGCCCAAGCTTCTCTACACTGTAGAATTAATGCAGTTCTGCACCACTTTAACTCCCAAGGCGCAATGCTGTGGAGCCCTGGGAGATGTAGTTTGGCCTCCCTTGTCAAAGCGTCCTGGTGCCTCACCACACTTACTCACTCGCTTAGACAATCCCTCATACCTTGAGGATGATGGTCCTCCAGATGTGGTGTCTTGGTGGTGGGTCCGTAGGTGGTTGTGGAGCCCTATTCTTGATTCGCATCTTCTCCCGCAGTTTCGCCCTCCGTTCGTGCCTCTTTGAATTCCGCAGCACTGCTGGTCACAGCTGACCTCCAGTTAAGCGCTCAAGGGCCAGGGTTTCCCAGTTCTCCGTGTCTATGCTCCAGTTTTTAAGATTGGCTTTAAGCCCATCTATAAATCTCTTTCTCACCACTACAACTCCAGTGGTTCCATACCATTGAGCCAAGGCAATTAAAGCATCTAATCCAGGCATGACCACCTGCTGCAATGCATTCTGAGCCCTGCTACATGCACAATGTAGGACCTCCTTGCAGCAACACCAGAGGCACTCCAAGTGGCCAGATATTAGTCAAAGGCCATTTAATCAACTACCAAGCTTGCAAACTTTGTACGAGGGGTATTTTTAAAGTAAGGTCCGTTTTGTTGTAGACACTAGTAGTTCGCGCGCATACCGCAACGAGCGCATGCCTCGGGAACAACTGTGCTCAGTTTCCGCTCTGTAGCTAACCTGTACGGTTCTGTTCTGTGCTTTAAAAATGTTTAAGACTATCAACTCACCCTCCGCATGTGAGGTTCGCTCAGTGATACGGTTTTTGTCAGCAAGGAACCTGCCTGCTGCAGAAATTCATCGACAGATTTGTGAAGTGTACGGTGATACTGTTATGAGTGAAAGCAAAGTGTGTAAGTGGGTATGACAATTCAAAGATGGCCGTGACAACGTCCATGATTAGGACCGCTCCGGTCGCCCTTCTTTGATTATCGGAGCAGGCGGCAAGTTTTTATGAAGAGGATTTTAAAATTGGTTCAGAGGTATGATAAGTGTTTGAACAAACTTGGCAACTATGTCGAAAAATAGAGTGAAGTATGTACTTTCTGAAAATAAATTTACTTTTTGAAATAAACTTTTGTTGTGTACTTATGTTCAAACGGACCTTACTTAAAAAATACCCCTCGTATTTTGTCTGTCTGTTTGTTTGTTTTGTTAAAAATGTAATGCAAATGTCTGGTTGCTCCTGATACGATAAATAAAATGGGTAAACTTGGGTCCTCCAGGTGTTTTGGGCTTCAGCTCCTGCAATTCCTGTCGAAAATGTCAACCTTCTTTAAGCCTCCACTAGTAATTTGTTTTGTATATGATTTATTTAGTACATTTCTATACCGCCCCTCAGCCTTCTGGCGACTTGCGGCGGTTTACAAAGCAAGAGTTCAATGCCACCAAGGACACGATTACAATATACAATATAAAAACATTATATCAAACATTATAATAAAACATAATTCAATCGATAATCCTTAAAACAATGTCCAGTTCCGCCATATAGTTATTCCGTTATTTTCAACTGCCAGCTCAAAAAGCCATGTCTTAAGACGCTTTCGGAATGATAGGAGCGAAAAAGCCGATCTAATCTTCCTAGAAAGGGCGTTCCATAGCCGTTCCATCCAGTGATAATGCAGCATGTCTCATTAACAAATGTGGATCAAGAATAGGGCTCCACAGCCACCTACGGACCCACCACCAAGACATCACATCTGGAGGACCATCATTCTCGAGGTATGTGTGATCGCCTAAGTAAGTAAGTGTGGTGAGGTACCAGGACTCTTTGGCAAGAGAGGCTAAAGACCCTGCCAAACTACATCTCCCAGGGCTCCACAGCATTGAGCCTTGGGAGTTAAAGTGGTGCTGAACTGCATTAATTCTACCTGGGCCAACTTGGGCCTTCAAGATGTTTTGGACTTCAACTCCCATCATTCCTCACAGCCTCAGGCCCCTTCCTTTTGCTTATTGTATTGTGTGCGCGCACGTGTATATGTGTGTGTTTTGGTATGCAGCTTTCCCTTTACTCTATGTTCCTTGAAGTTGTGGGTGGGGCTGCAAGCCACATGATTGGATCAGGGACTACCCTAAGGTCAGATTCCATTTTAGAACATAGAGAGGCCATGAAACTTTGAACTGTTAAGAGCAAACTAATGTTGCTTTTGATTCTAAGAAAGATGCCCTGTGTTATCAGCACAGAGAAACCAATTCAAAACCTATCTGTATGTACCTGGATTACATACTGGATTACAACTGGATTACGTACCAGTATGTAACTGGTACAAGTTAATGTACCAGTATGCTGAATATATGACGATTATGAGTAAACCAAATATGTTACTTTTGACAAAGTCTACTTTATTTTTGTCTCTTGAGAGCATGATATAGAAACAAGATGTTTCGTGGGAGAATAGATGTTCTTGGGCACTGAAAAGAATACTTTTGAAGAACTGCTGTATTTTGTGCTTTGGCATATCTGTTTCAAACAGATCAGAGATAACCAGGTTATCAGTCCACTTGCATATGTACATGTGGTCATATACCATTGAAGAGAAGATTTTACTTAAATGAGGTTTGGGCTCTTTGGAAGATCATACTTTTACAAAAGGTTATGATTTTCAAATGGTTGTGATTACCATTTTTCTCCAAAAGGCTATGGAGATGCTGGTTTTCCAAAAGGTTATGATCTCCAAAAGATCATGCCTTTCCAAAAACCCCTAAGAGCCATAGGCTGTTAGGAATTGTGGGAGTTGGAGTCCAAAACTCCTGGAGGGCTAATACAACATTCTGCCACTCATACACACACTGCTTTAAACTGCCATAGCTCCATCCTACAGGATTTTAGGATTTGTTATTGTTTTGAGAATGGTCAGCTAGAGAGTTCTAGTGTTACACAAAACTGCAAATCCTGGGATGCCATACAATGCAACTAGGCAGTAATTTGGGATTGTGTGCTTTAGGGATTACTTTGGCTGCAGGACACCTGCCTGTAGTGTTTGGATCCTCGTGTTTGATCAGAAGAATCCCCCAGCCCTCGTTTTCCTCAGTATTGTGTAGCATCTTCCTTCTGTGATCTACTTAACAATAAGGACTTAGGGCCTTCCTAATATGACAATTAGGACAATATATCTATAGGTCTTTAAAACTCCATAAGGCTTCCTTTGCCTGTTTCTTCTAAAAGAGCAGGGAGGCTTATGAAAGAGTTGCGTCTAAAGGTGAGTAGGAGCATAGCTTTCCTAATAAGGTTTATTAATTTAAAAAAGGAGGAAGATTTATACAATCTGAAGAGAAACCAGACTTCGATAATAATAATAATAATAATAATAATAATAATAATAATAATATACTTTGGAACTGGCCACATGGGTGTCTTATGTGGCAATGTACACAAACTTTGTTTCATGCAACAAAATTACTAAAAAAACTGTACCTTTAGCAGCAAGTCAGGATGTTTAGAGTGCTTTCTCAATCAACGTAGCTTTGCAATAATTTTATAAAGCAATCTTTCTTTTTAACATCCTGATATTTCCTGTGTGGAATATCATCTAAGTAAGATCTTGTTGGGTATGTTAAATAGGGAGCTGGACTGTAGCTACACTACCATATAATGCTGTTTGAATGGCATTGGTCTACATTATATGGGTCTACACTGACAATAGAATGCAGTTTGGACTGACTGTATGGCAGTATATATCTAACCTCTGTTAATCCTGGATCGCAACAAACCCCAAAGTGTGTTTGCTTTGCTAATAGAAATTTAGCCTGAACCACTTGTACAGAATGACAAGCTTCAAACTGTAAAATGCTGATCATTGCAAGGGCTGCCAGTTCAAATGTTGAAGTATATGAAAAACCTTTTGTTCAGATTCAAGTAATGCTATGTATATTGGAGTTAATTGATTAGAATCTCCCCCCAGCACTAAAAGAGAGAGAAAAAGACTTAGTCAATTCCCAGCAAGCAGTATGTGAGTTGGAGGTGAAAATGTAGATTATTTTAGCTATTTTCATGCCGCAAGCACTTCTGCCATGAGAGCTGATCAATGTGGTAGTTTAAGTCAGAGATAAAACAACAAATGAGGAGAACAGAGGGAAGAGGGGAGGAAGCAGTGACAGAGCTTCTTGAAAGAGTGGGTTCTTTTTTGTTTGTTTGTTTGTTAAATACTAACATTAATATTTTATGTAGGTTTTCAACATACAAGGCAATTTGGACTCCCAAACACCTGAATGCCTATGCAGGGATAGCATAGTCTCAGAAATGGATGGGCCAATTTGTGGGATTCCTCACAGCTTTAAGTGCTGGCTTTGGCCTATAAAGCCCTAAACGGTTCTGGCCCAACTTACCTGTCTGAATGTGTCTCCCCTTACGAACCATCGAGGACTCTAAGATCGTCTGGGGAAGCCCTGCTCTTGGTCCCGCCTTTGTCTCAAGTACGTTTGGCGGGGAGAGACAGGGCCTTCTCAGTGGTGGCCCCTCGGCTATGGAACACCCTCCCTAGGAAGATTAGATCTGTTCCCTCCCTCTTAACGTTTCGGAGGCAAGTTAAAACATGGCTGTTCGAGCAAGCGTTTACAAATGTAGAGTAGCTAATATAGGAAATTGAACGATTTGCCAATGGAACTGGATGATGCTTGATAATAATGAGACGCTAATGATGTTGTTTTTATTGCTTTTGTGGTGTTTTATATTGTTTAATGTTTTAATCTGTATTATGTTTTTATATGTACTGATTTGTTGGAAACCACCTTGAGTCACCGATTGGCTGAGAAAGGCGGTATACAAATACAGTAAATAAGTAAATAAATAAATATGGGACCACAAACAAGAAGAATGCAATTTTCCTGCTTCTTGGCAGGAGGTTAGACTGGATGGCCCATGCGGTCTCTTCCAACTCTATAATTCTAAGAGCAGTACAAACTTTTCACTGAAAACTAACCATATGCACATGTGAATTGGGAAAAAAACCAGAAAGCCCGATAGTGCCTAAAACAAAGCATAAAATAAACATACAATACAAGATAAAGCCAATAGCATATAAAACAAAGTTTAAGCTTAAAACAGCGCTCAATAACCTATAAGAACTGTCATAAAAACAGCCAACTACAAGAGCATTTATTTCTTTATTTACCACACTTATATCCCACCATTCTCCCCCTCCCCCCAAGGGGACTCAGAGCGGCTTTACAAAGGCAACAATTCAATGCCACACATATACATATTGATAAACAAACAATGCATTAAAATACAAGCCAATTGCAAACATCAGCATCATTAAAGGTGTGGCAAACTAAACTTTATTGTGTCAGTCGTTACTTTTTAGTGTGGTTCTCATTGTTTTGACATTGACAATAAGTTGTTGCATCTTTCAGTTTCTCAGAAGGGCAGTAGCTATGTTATGATTTCTTGATGTCAAAAAGAGAAATTAGGAGTTCAACCATATTGTGAGATATAGAAAGTGTAATTTCACTAACCTTTCCTCCCTTGCCTTTTACAACTTGTGTTAGCTTTCTGAAGATGTAGTGAACAGGATGAAACAACCGTGCCAAACTAAAAAGGATCAACGAGCACCACCGGTCCCTCCGTCTCCCATATCGCAACCTGCAGAAGCGAAGTCTAAGGCGCCAACAGGTATTTAATGCCTTTATTACTCAGAACTAGATTTTAATAGCATCCATGTGAATGACAAATGTCTGGCAGCCCTGTTTTTGGTGTATTCAATTGAGAAATCAGTTGCTTTACTACATGCTTCTTCCATTTGGATGACTACAGATATTATTTATTTATTTAGCAGTTCCTAAGTGTGTTACCTCTATACATTTTTAAAAGAGATAAAATATTTGTTATATGCCCCCAAGTTTTACCCTTAGCTTTTGCATGGTCAAAGCAAAATCCATAGTTTTGGCTGCAAAAACCACCCACAACTTACTGACTTACTTAGGTGATCCCTCGTAGCCTGAGGATGATGGTCCTCCAAGTGTAGTATCCTGGCGGTGGGTCCGTAGATGACTGTGGAGCCCTATTCTTGATCTGCATCTTCTCCCACAGTGAGGGCATCGGTTTCCAGGTGGAAGTCAGTCCTGGTCAGGGTTGGCTTGCTGCGCCTTCCTCTTGACACGTTTCTTTCTTTTGCCCTCCATTTGTGCCTCTTCAAATTCTGCAGCACTGCTGGCCACAACTGACCTCCAACAAGAGCGCTCAAGGGCCAGGGCTTCCCAGTTCTCAGTGTATATGCCAAAGTTTTAAAGGTTGACTTTGAGCCCACCTTTAAATCTTTTTTCCTGTCCTGCAACATTTTAAACTGTATTTTGCCTGGGCTTGGGCCCCATGTAAGCCGCCCCGAGTCCCTTCGGGGAGATGGAGGCGGGGTAGAAAAATAAAGTAGTTCTTCTTCTTCAACATTCTGTTTTCCATTCTTGAGTTTGGAATAGAGCACCTGCTTTGGGAGATGGTGGTCGGGCATCCGGACAACATGGCCAGTCCAGCGGAGTTGATGGCAGAGGACCATTGCTTCAATGCTGGTGGTCTTTGCTTCTTCCAGCACACTGACGTTTGTCCGCCTGTCTTCCCAAGAGATTTGCAGGATTTTCCAGAGGCAGCCCTGATGGAATTGTTCCAGGAGTTGCATGTGACGTCTGTAGACTGTCCACGTCTCGTAGGCGTATAGCAGGGTTGGGAGAACAATAGCTTTATAAACAAGCACCTTGGTATCCCTACAGATGTCCCGGTCCTCAAACACTCTCTGCTTCATTCGGAAAAATGCTGCACTTGCAAAGCTCAGGCGGTGTTGAATTTCATTGTCAATGTTGACTTTTGTGGAGAGGTGGCTGCCAAGGTAGTGGAAATGGTCAACATTTTCTAATGTTACACCATTAAGTTGTATTTCTGGCATTGGAGAGGGATTGGCTGGTGACTGCTGGAAGAGGACTTTGGTTTTCTATATATATAGTCTTTTTTAGTTAGCTATGGGAATTCACAACCTTTCAGGCAAGAGAGTTGATTTTGAATGTGTGCTATGGGTAAACAAATGGCTGTCCATCTCTAAAAGGTTTGCCGTCACTACTCTAGGACCTCCAGTACAGTTCTATGGTCAAAATCCTCTAGTCATATTGGAGAATCTAGAGTTTTCTAGGAATATCTAGGAATAGAAGAAAGCGCAAAAGCTGGGTTGCAGCTAAACATAAAAAAACCAAGATTATGGCAACAACAATGATTGACAACTGGAAAATAGAGGGAGAAAATGTGGAGGCGTGACAGACTTTGTATTTCTAGGTGCAAAGATTACTGCAGATGCAGACTGCAGCCAGGAAATCAGAAGACTTTACTTCTTGGGAGGAGAGCAAGGCCATTTATCTAGCCGTAAGAGTAGAGACATCACACTGGCAACAAAGATCCGCATAGTTAAAGCAATGGTATTCCCTGTAGTAACCTACGGATGTGAGAGCTGGACCTTAGGGAAGGCTGAGCAAAGGAAGATAGATGCTTTTGAACTGTGCTGTTGGAGGAAAGTTCTGAGAGTGCCTTGGACTGCGAGAAGATCCAACCAGTCCATCCTCCAGGAAATAAAGCCCGACTGCTCACTGGAGGGAAGGATACTAGAGACAAAGTTGAAGTACTTTGGCCACATCATGAGGAGACAGCAAAGCCTAGAGAATACAATTATGCTGGGGAAAGTGGAAGGCAAAAGGAAGAGGGGCCGACCAAGGGCAAGATGGATGGATGGCATCCTTGAAGTGACTGGACTGACCTTGAAGGAGCTGGGGGTGGTGACGGCCGACAGGGAGCTCTGGCGTGGGCTGGTCCATGAGGTCACGAAGAGTCGGAGATGACTGAATGAATGAACAACAACAACCTGTGCAATTCTCTGGTCCGCTTCCAGCAGACATTGACTATAGAGAAATTCCTAGAGATGTGTTCTTTCAGGTAAGAAATTAACTATTTCTTGGCTTGAGGTTTTTCGCTTTCATGGGAGGGGTGGTCCTGTGCCCCTAACCCCAGCAAATGTGGAGGGATGACTTTATATGTTTTTTTAAAGTCTTATGGAGGAGGATGGGGTTGAATGCAGGTCCCACACTGAAGACTATTGATGTACCCTATCAATCTTTGTTGTCTCCTCTGTGTATGTTCAGAAGACTATTATAATGTTCTATGCAGCATTTAGGGAAAGCAGCTGTAACAGACAGAAACACTATTTATGACTAGTGTCATTTTAGAAGAATGGAGGTGAACTGCCTGCTTCTTGGTGCGTGGGGATTGCACGAGGAGCATCTTGTGTAGTCCTGGGTATTCAAAAGTTCACAAACCAGTTCCAGATGTTACCAGGGAGAAAGGAGTGAAAGAATTCTGATGGAGCTCAGCTGTTTCATTCTCTGCTTAATGGCTTGTTGCAAAGGCTGGTCTCTTGTGAGTGGTTTGCTTACCTAAGTCAGCTGGTTTTTGATTTCCATTATAGTGCCCAAATGTGCATTCTTGGCTCATCTGTCAGTTGTCCCTCCAGGATCCTTAATCTTGTTGTTTTACAGGATCCAGAGTGATTTGTGGTTTAGTGAACCAGCTCATTATTGCCAGAAACGTATGCTCCATACGAAATAAAATATAGTTTAAAATGGGTGAATAGGTATTTCTTTTTAAAATGTACTGGTGGAGTTTCCAAAGTTTCTACCTGTCTCTTTGCTTTGATTCTACATAACTTCTACTTGCCTTGTGGAGAATTTCACAGGAGCAATTTATTCAGCCATGGTGTTAGGTTTTACTGAAACCGCTTTTCTTAATATCATGTTTTAAAGTAAGATTTTCTCTTAATACGTACCAGGATTACCTTTTAATTTAGCTCCACCAGTTCCTAAATTCTTGCTTTTCTATCTTAAGTTCTCATGAATGAGATTAATTATATGCCCTATATTTTCACAAATTAAAAAGATGTGCAGCTCAGGCTACCACAGTGATGATTTTCTTCCCCTTTCTCCAGGAATTTGTCCACCTACACCAGACAATTTGGGTCGAAAGCCATCTGAGGCAGAGGAGGAACTGTACAAGAGGTGAGATATTCTTGTATCATTTAGATCAGTGGTGTCAAACTCATTGGGGGCCAGATCATCCTTACGGCTGCTTTCAAAATGCCATTGGATTCATGGACAGAGAACGTGTGGATACAGAGAATGTGTGGATACAGGCCAACTATAATTTTCATAGAATCATAGAGCTGGAAGGTACCACACTGGCTATCTAATCCTACCCCTTGCCATGCAGGAAAAGCACAATCAAAGAATCCCTAAGAGATGGCCATTCAGCTTCTGTTTAAAAGTTTCCAAGGAAGGAGATTCCACCACACCTCGAGGCAGAGAGTTCCACTGTTGAACAGCTCATATGGCCAGGAAGTTCTTCCTAGTATTCACGTGGGATCTCATTTCCTGTAATTTGAACCCATTGCTCTGAGTCCTGGTTTCAAGGGCAGCAGAAAACAAGTCTGCTCCCTTTTTGTATGACACTCTTTCTCATATTTATACATAGCTATCATGTCTCCTTTCAACCTTCTCTTCTGTAGGCTAAACATACTCAGTTAGTTAAGACACTCTTCATAGGACATGGTCTCTAGGACTTTGATCATTTTAGTCGCCCTCCTTTGGACACCTTCCAGCTTGTCAATATCTCTTTTGAACTGTGGTGCCCAGAATTGGACACAGTATTCCAGGTTTATTTATTTCGTTTCAAAACCATTGCGCAAAATAGTTTATCTAAAACTGTTAAAATACAGGGATCACAGACCGCTAGATAGTTTTAGACCAAAAACTGTCAACAGCGACTGCATTGCCATGTTCAACGTGTTGTCCATGAAGACTCCAAGATTTTTCTCACATGGACTGTTGTCAAGCCAGGCATCACCCATCCTGTATCTTTGCATTTCATTTTTCCTAAGTGGAGTATCTTACATTTATCCTTGTTGAAATTCATTTTGTTAGTTTTGGCCCAGCTCTCTAATCTGTTAAGGCCATTTTGAATTCTGATCCTGTCCTTTGAAATATTAGCTATCCCTCCTAATTTGGTTTCATCTACAAAGTTGATAATTACACCCTCTGAACCAGGGGTCCTCAAACTTTTTAAACAAAGGGCCAGGTCACAGTCCCTCAAACTGTTGAAGGGCCAGATTATAATAAAAAAAAAAACATGAATGAAGTCCTCTGCACACTGCACATATCTTATTTGTAGTGAAAAAACCACTTAAAACAATACAATAATTAAAATGAAGAACAATTTTAACAAATATAAATTTATTAGTATTTCAATGGGAAGTGTGGGTCTGCTTTTGGCTGATGAGATAGGATTGTTGTTGTTGTTGTTGTCGTGTGCTTTCAAGTCATTACAGACTTGGTTGACCCTAAGCGATGGCCGGGTAAATGACCTTGAAGGGCCGCATTCGGCCCCTGGGCCTTAGTTTGAGGACCTCTGCTCTAAACCTTCATCCAAGTCATTAATAAAGATGTTGGACCGAACTGGACCCAGGACCAAATCCTGTGGCACTCCATTCATCATTTCTGTCTATGATGAAGAGGAACCATTGGTGAGCACCCTTTGGGTTCAGTTGCTTAACCAATTACAGAACCACCTAATAGTAGTATTGCCTAGCCCACATTTGACTAGTTTTCTTGCAAGAAGGTTATTTCTGTCCATGGAACCACACTCAGTATTTCCTTAAATTTCCTGAAGCTGGCTTTCCTAAAGTCTAGAATGCGGGTTTGACTTCTCTTAGTTTCACCCTTCCTTTGTATCACAATCTCTAGGAGCACATGGTCACTCCCACTTAAGGATCCCACCACTTCCATTCTATTGACCAGATTCTCACTGTTGGTTAGAATCAGATTCAGAATAGCTGAACCCCATGTAGCCTCTTCTACCTTATGGTCAATAAAATTGTCCTCAAGACAAATGAGGAATTTGTTGGACTTTGTACTATTTGCAAAGTTTGTTTTCCAACAAATATAGTAGTTGAAGCCCCCTGTTACTACTATGTTTCTTCTTTCTGCATGTCATTTTATTTCATAGCAGTCGTTGCTCTTTAGGTTTTACTTTTGGTTTAACATCCTCAGATGTTATTGAATGACAACTCCCATCCCTTTTGATTATCCACCATGCAGACTGGGGAAAATGAGAACTCCAACCCAGCAACTCCAACTCCAACTTCTGGCTCTGAAGTTTAGGAAAGGTTAAAGGATATTTTAAAGTCAAACAGCATATCCACTAGCCTTGTACAGGCAGTTCCCGAGTTACAAACATCCAACTTATATCCGACTCCTAGTTACAAACAGGGGTGAGACAACAGTAAGTAAGAGGAAAACCAACCCTAGGAAGTAAGGTTCACTCTTGTGAGAAACACAAAGGCTTTATCACTAAACCTTGTTTCTAGGAAAACCCCAAAATTTCAAAATCCAATTGTCACAGGGACAGAAAGTGAGGTGAAATCTTTTGAATAAGTGCATAGACAGCAAAAAAAGTTATGGGGATGTTAACACTTCCCTATGCTATCCAAAACGAAAAAAATATGAATTTTGGTTAGAGTTATACTTAGAAAATTTACCTGTTGTGACTTACATACAAATCCAAATTGAGAACAAATCTACAGAACTTATTTTGTTCATCAACAGGGGACTTCCCGTATCTAAATTCAAACCCTCCTATCGTAACTAAAGAGAACAAACTGCAGCCTCCTAGATGTTACTGTATAACAACTTTCATCAGTTCCAGTCATGATGTCTAATGATGAGGAATACAGGAGTTGTAGTCCTGCATCTGGGAGGACCACATAAAATGGCATGGAAGGCTGAATTTGGCTTGCGGGCCTTGAGTTTGACATCTGTGATATAGATTGTTTTGATTTTGGCATTAGACATATTATGTCTAATGTAAAAAGCACAGTGGACTAAGATCTGTTGCTGTAAAATGGTTGCTATGAAGTACATGTTCTCTGTTGCCTTTAGAACAATGACATTATTTCCCAGACATTATGAACTACCTGAGCACTGGTGTGATCTCCAAATGGCTTAATAAATCTTTTATTCCCTTACCTGGGAGATAATTGATATCTGGACATGAGAACCATCATCAAGATCGAACTGGCCACTTACTGATTAGATTTCTTGTTGCAGAATTAACATTAAAACCTGTTGTACTTCAGGAAATGCAACACTGAGTTGATAAGAGTGCCAGATTTAAGGTTGCATCTCTGCTTGCTGTGATTCCAATATGGCCAAGGGAACTGCATCTTAATTTTATATCAGTGATTGTTGATCCCTTTCTTTGCCTCACAGGTATGAACAGGAGCAGGCCATGGTCCAAGAGGAGCTGCTTCGACTGGCCAAAAGGGAGCGGGAGGCAGCCACTGAGAGTCTAAATGTAACTCTTCAGCGGGAGAGGATTAACACCAATGAAGAGAAGCAGAAAACAGCTCAGATTGTGAGTATCATAACACTCAGTAACACTGCATTGTCCTCCTCTTTTTCCTGCATTACCTTTCTTGTGGTCAGATTTGTTAAAAAAAAAACTTACTCGAATGAATGTATTAAAATACTGGTTTTCCTTGTCCTCTGTCTCATTCTGTTGCAGCCTATTGTTTGTGTCAGTGATGGCTCACCATTTCCATTCCTTGTTTTGCTGTGAAACTGGGAGACTGGTCTAGAGTGGCAAATGAGATGTATGTTCAGTTATTCCAATGGAAAAACTTCACGTTTATCATAACTGGTCTTGTAAATTGGGCTCTGTTTTAAAAGTATACAAGAAAGACATAAAATGGATCACATGCTAAGCGTAATCTTTCCTGCTACCTCTTTTTGTGTGTTTGTGTATATGTCCATGTGTTAGAAGTTGAAGCTAACTACCATGGCAGTCTAGAGTGAAATTTCTTTCTGACATATGGCTGATCTGTGTGTGCTTTATTTCCTAAATACAACCACTACAAGGCAAATAATTTTCTTTTCATTTTTCCTCATGGTGTTACAGTGCAGGAGGCTACAACTGTTTGATAAGTTTATTATTAAGTTTTCACATTGCTTTTCTCTGTGGAAGAAGTGAATTTTAAAAGCATCTAAGAAATGACCTATGAATATATCATCTATATGATGTGATCCTTTCTTCAAATGGAAAGAGCAGTGACAAAATAGCAGTCAAGATTAATAATTGCTAGAAATTTCATAATCAGTTGATGTCCTGATTAAAGAACCTAGCACCTTCTACTTACATGTGCTCAGTTTCACAAAACAGAATCCTAGGTATAGGATTATTTTGGAATGGGTTGCTGAGTTGTTATACATTTATCTTAAATGCATACTTTCTTTATTTTTAGATAACTCTGATCTATATCTTTTTCTAATACTTTTTAACACACAGTTTTGATATATAAAACAGATTTCAGAAAAATTAACCAAAGATTAATACAATACATTACAAGAAATGTATTTTGTGATACATGATACATCTAACAAAATCACTACACTAAACTAGAACTAAATTTCTGTTACATACATGTACAGGATAATTCAAATGGTGTTCACCTTTTCAAATAGTATTTATATTTATTAAAAAATCATAATTTTTCTCCATAAAAGTATTCTTAATTGACCATTTACAATACACATCTCTGTACAAATGATCAAAACCTAATAATGGTATCACTCTCCAAGGATATCTCAAAGAAGTCAATGTATCATTAACAGCATTTTTTTTTTTAAAAAAAGAATATCCCATTTTCTCATACAGGAAGAAATGCCTTTTATTATAACATTTCCACCTGCAGATTGTTATCAGTACATTTATTAATTACTAGCTTGGGGACCTAGTGGTGCCCAAGATATTTGAAAAAGGCATTGTTTGTTTTGGGGTGTTAGGTAATATCAGTTTGGTAATTTGTAACTCTAATTCTTAGAAAAAAGTCAGTCTTTCCAGTTGTTTTCCATGAATGCCCCCATTAGAAAATGCATAAGGATGTGGTTAAAGTGCAATTCCCAATAGTATGGGTCATTCACCCCAACCCCCTCCAGTATTCAAACTTGGATCTCTTTGCCAAGTTTGGTCCAGATCCATCGCTGGCTAGGTGCAGTGCTTTCTGGATAAGGGTGAACTACAACTTCCAAAATCAAGGTCAATTCCCACAAACCCCTGCAGTATGTTCAGTTGGTCATGGGGCTTCTCTGTGCCAAGTTTGGTCCCAGTCCATTGTCAGTGGGGGTCACAGTTTCTCTGGATGCAGGTGACCTATAGCTCCCATCAAAGTCAATTTCCCCCAAATGTTTCCAGTATGTTCTGTTGGTCATGTGGAGTCTGTGTGCCAAGTTTGGTCCAGGGCCATCATTTGTGGGGGGCTGTAATAGTTTGTGGGAGGCGAATCGGTGATGGTACTGCAAATACCATTGTCCGTGGTCCATCCTCCCCCAAATTGCACCAGGAAGTATAGTGGGCCATGGGGGGGGGGGGGAGGAGGTCTCTGTGTCTCATTTGGTCCAAGACTGTCATTTGTGGGGGTCGCAGTATTCTCTGGAAGTGAGTGAAGGTACTGTACTGCAAATCCCATCATTTGTGGCAAGTTTGGTCCAGATCCATTGTTGGTTGGGTCCATAATGCTCTCTGAGTGTGGGTGAATTATAACTCCTTTAAATCATGGTGAATTCTTCTCAAATCTCTTGTCATTTGTAAGGAAAGTGATTGGAGGTTAAAATTCGGTACATAGCTGCAACCAAAGAAAATTGTATGAAACTTGTATTCGAGGCATTATTAGGACGAATGTGATAGGAACTGAAAATGTTTACTAGAATGCTGTATTGCAGCCCCTTTGGAGCAGGGAAGCAGCATTCTCTTTGGATAGCACCATATATATGGATAGTCTGCATTAGTAATGACAAAGGGGCAATGAAATCTTCATTCAGATGCTAGTTATGTCAGGGTATGGATCTTGTATTTCCGTGATATTTAAATTAACTCATTCATCTCCCAGAAAATCCAGAGGGTCTGCATGTGTGTTTCAAACAAGATATTCAACGGTTACAAAATGAAAAGCCCCTTGCTTGCCTGTGTTGGAAAGTATAACTTAATCTGTATTAACTAGAGCATTAACTGTAATCCAGAAGAACTAATGGATTTAACAATTCTCCAATGTGAGGACTACAAATCAAATAGGTTTTAGCCTCACTTAGAAAAAAAAGGGTCTTAATCCTTATTAAAAAGAGCCCACAAATACTTTATTGTATTGGGGCACTATTAAGAAAGTGACATGGAAATTAATGAGCACTGGGGCATACATTATTCACACAAACTAATGCTAATGGTATTCAAACACTCTAGTCATACATTTGGTTTATAGTAGTGTCTGGGCATTGGTAATGCCTTTTTTTAGAAATAGCTTCTCAGGTTCTTGGAAGTTTTATGTATATAACATCCATGGTAGTTAATGAAGCAGATTTTTGCAGGTGTTATTAGCAGTTCACAGTTTATTTTGTAGAATTATCAATAGGAATGAGGAATAATAATAGTAATGGGATGCTTTGAGATGTATATTTCTACATACCAGGAGGTTGGACTGGATGGCCTTTGTGAACACTTTGAACTGTGATGCTCTCTGTATGGGCCCATATCCTCCTGAGGGTCCATACAACCTTACAGATTTTTTTTTGTTTTTGTTTTCAAATAGAGATTCAAATATTTCAGTGGGAGATAGCCCATATGGCATTTTGCCATGTTCTAGGGCTCCATCCCTGCATTTAAAAATTCTACAGGCCTTTTCCTAGATTAGAATCTTTCCAGAAGTTGAGAGTGGTGTTTGTAGATTGTCCATGTTTTGCAGGCATACAGCAGAATTGGAAGGACAATAAACAAGCATCTTGGTATCCCTACAGATGTCCCGATTTTCAATCACTCTCTGTTTCATTTAAAACATGCCTCGTTTGCAGAGCTCAGATGGTGTTGTATTTTGGGCTCGATGGAAACTTTTGTGGGGAGGTAGCTGCCTAGGTAATGGAATGGCAAACTTTTTCTAGCATTACACCATTGCTGGCATTGTAGAGGGATTGGTTGATGTTTGCTGGTAGAGCACTTTATGGCTTTGGCGGCTAAGGAGTTCCCTTGAAGCCCTGATTTCTCTGGTTCTGGATATTCAGTGAGAGGCCAAGCTTTTCATATTCTTCTCTAAAGGTGTTTAAGGTGGAGTGTAGGTCTTGTTCTAAATGAGCACAGACAACATTATCATCAGTATATTGAAGTTCTATAAAAATGGTGTGACCATACTTTTGCCTTTCATCTTGCTGAGGTTGAAGAACTTGCCATCTTTCCAATATTTGAAGTTTCCAATCAACAATGTGTAGAATCATAGTTATGAAAATGGAAAATAAGGTTGGGGCAATAACACATCCCTGCTTGACACCTTCTCCCACTTTAAATGGGTCACTTTGGGAGCTGTTGCTGTCCAAGACAGTTGCCATCATGGAGGAGCCATAGGATGTTCACAAATTTATTAGGGCATCTGATTTTCAAGAGGAAGGTCCAGAGAGCATTACAGTTGACAGTGTCAAATGCCTTTGCAATGTGATTGAATATACAGAGGTTGATTTTGTTCCTTGCATTTTTCCTGAAGCTTCTGTGTAGTGAAAATCATACCCACTGTTCCTCTGGAGGGGCTGAAGCCATTTTGGGATTTAGGAAGGATGTTTTCTAAAATAGGTAGAATGTGGCTTGTGGGGATTTTGGTACAGATTTCTCCAGTGGAGGTTAAAAGTGATAGTTAAAACCTTGATAGTTTCCACAGTCTGTTCTATTTGCCTTTTTGAAAAATCTGATATTACTGAAGTCTGCTGGGGTCTTCTTGGTCACCCACACATTGTCAATACATTTGTGGAGTTGTGTCAGCTCAGGCCTGCCTTCTTTAAAGATTTCAGTAGGGATCCCATCAAGTCCACTGACTTTGCTATTTTAATTGATTGATGGCTTTACTGATTTCCTTCAAACTGGGCAGTGCTGCAAGCACATCCCTGGTTTGTTGTTGTGGCATTTGTTCAAAAGCTTCAACTACATTCCTATACATATGTAACATGTACTGAGGTTAAAGAGGTTATGGTAATGCTTTTTCCAATGTAGTGCAATGCATTTTTATCATTTAGAATTTGGGTTCCAACTGATGAATATAGATGAACATGTATGCCATGATTCGTTGGGCCATAAATTGACTTTGTGGCTTAAAAAAATCCCTTTGTGTCATGGACATCTGCAGTGTGTTCAGTTTCTTGAGCCCTTTTGGCCTCTAGGTTCTTAAGTTCTTTGGTTCTTATTTGGAGCTCACATTTTGTACTAGCATAGATCTTTTTAGTGGTGGCACAGTTGATGTCATTCTGCCATATTTGGAAGGCTTTCCTTTTCTTATCAATTATATGTTGGATCTGTTACTAGCATGCAAGTTTAGCTTATAATTGATCATT